CACACACACACACACACACACACACACACACACACACACACACACACATACACACACACCTACACATACACATAAACATTAAAGGAGGGAAATCTTTCCAGTGAATCTTAAGGTAAATTTTCCAATCTTAAACATACATTATTTGGAAATATAATCTAGTTTTACTTTCAGGGCATTTAATTAAAGTACATTTCTTTACACATTTGGAGACAAAATTTAAATGAACTAATTGATTTTTTTTTTAAAAAAAAGCCATTTGGCACCAAACTGGACAATGTTAGCTAACAGTTGGGGGATACCTAATAGCCCCACCTCCCCAAATTAAGCATTTTGGGTGTAATGTATACAACACTGATATATGAAAAAGGTATTTGCAGATAAGGTATTTGTCATGCCATAAATCTGACTCCTTAAAGGAATTGTACAAGAAGACCAGTTGTTTCGTTCTAGATCTAATTATTCTCCCACCAGACATTCCATCTCCTTTCACCCAAACCCTTGAAGAAGAAAGAGAGGAAAACTGCATATTGTCTTTTGAAAAGCACCAGTGAATTGAGTAGGTCCACAAGCAGGAATTGCAGGACTATCCATTCAAAACCACAATTTTCAGCTTATTTGATTTATGGAAGGAGAGACAATCAAAGCATTTCCTACATGGGGCTAGTTTGAAAATAAAATTCAATAACTGTTCTCACAATATATTTAACTGGTTAATGGACAGTTAATGTGTCTTGGGAATACCAAGAACATGTAAATTGATCCAATCACCTAGCCTCAGTCGATTACATTTAGCCTTAAACAGACCTGCAATGCACAGGGTTAAACTCATTCTACCTAGTCAGTTGTGCTGTGGGAGAAACTACAATAAACCCATTTTGCTCACCTAGTCCTTCAAGGAAAAGAGACGGAGAGAAAGTCTATCAGTTATGGGACTTTATTGACAAGATGATGATGATTAAGACTGTTGCCAGTTCAGAACACATAATTGGTTAAAACGTAATTGTGTTGAATATCCATGGCTAATAGGGAAGGGGATTAGTGAGGTCATGAAGCTTTGCTGATCACCTAGCATGACAACTCAGAACACACCAGACACTTATAGAGAAAAGGAGAATTGTGACTTTTTGACCCAGTTAGTGTGATTATGAGCTGCCAGACTACAAAAAAGTATTTTACAGTACTGTGTTTTGCTGGGTTTGTGATAACTAAGTGTGTTGTAGAAACAGAGGTATGGTATTTAATTAAGTTTAATTCTCAGGTGCATACATATGATTACAATTTCAGATCCTTGGCTATTTATGTCAAAACACTCAGTGTGCTAAGGTTGGTATCTTGCAGAATTGAGATGAAGTTTATAATATTTAAATCCTATCGTTTTCCAAGGAACTTACTGTCAAGGCAGACACTAAATTCCTAATTCCAGGTTTATTTTTAGCATCTGGCAAACATGTATGAATTATCATATCATTGCTACATCTTCTATTTTTAGATTTAACTTCATGTAACCTGTAGAATTTTAGTTCTCTGGAAAGAGTGGGAGAGAAAGGATTTATTTTTGATTTAAATAAAGTTTCCCCTGTCCTTATCCTTTTTGTTAACTTTTACCCGAACAGCTGGGCTTTTAAAACTTGTTTCAGAATAATATATAAAATATTTACAAGGAGGTTGACATTGTTCCTCCCATGCATCACCATTATTAGAAAATATGCAGGAAAAAGTCATTTTTGTATATACAGTAATCATAACTGCTACATGGGTGAAGCTATATCTACAAAAATAATGTGCCTTTCTATCTCCAAGAGGCACTGTCATTTTTACAAGAAACAAAATTCTTGCAAAGTGCCTACTTTCATTCTGGACTAACTTGTTCACTTTTTTTTAGTGTTTCTTCTTTTCTCCTTGTAGCTGAATAGATAATAAAGGACTAAGAAAGCAATGGAGGAGGTAAAATCCATATATTGTTATATGGTATACAGTCAGAGTCTCTATTATGAACTTACCACACCAATGTATCCTCCACTATCTCTCTTATGCCTACCAGAATTTTGGCTCTGCAACATGGCAGCTCCTTTAAAAAAAATGATTTTAACTAAAAATAAATGGAAGCGTGAAATTTAGCTATGCTCAAGTGCCAGTTGCCCACAAAGTGGTATATGTATCTGTTCTGACCCCCCTCGCTCCACACCAAAGCACACTCCGAGCCAAAGATAAGTTACGGCATTGAATTAACAGACAGACAGGTCCTTGGCAGCAAACCGGCACAGACAAGCTTGGGCAGCAATAAACACAGACAAGGCTTGGCAGCAATCCAGCCTGCCAAGCTCATAACAATGTTCTCCGACATTCGATTCTGCATGTGCACAAGTAGTCTTTTTATAGTCTGGAGAGGAGCCTAATGACCACCAGCTGAGTGCAATTACACCCTTAACTGCGCAACTGTTCCTGACGCCTAGTAGCTCTTTGGTGCCGTGCACCCAGGAACAACTCACTACTGGCATCTGGCTCACTCTCCCTTGTCTCCTCCCCACTGGTCCAAGGCTCAGGCGCTTCCAGGCAGGGAACCAGCCTTTCTGTGCCCTGCATGTTATCAGAATCCTGTCCAGGTTCCTACACATCCTCC